TTTGGTAGCTCTACTTCCTATTTCTGTACTTTGTAGGTGAGCCCTGTAGCCCACTGTCATCACAATGGTATGCGTGATTCATCAAACAAACAGTTATAATGTTCAGGGACGCTTGACCCGCTTTCTAGCAGGTGTTGCTCCTCACCAATAGATGGAGCCTCCCCCTGGAATGCTAGCGGTGCCTGCTCTTACCAGCACCCCTAGCATCCACGAGGGCTGTTTGAAAAAAAAAAAAAAAAAAAAAAAAAAAAAAAAAAGAATATCCCTGTGCGAAATAATGCATAGGAATGTTGGTATGTCTGTTGCCGACCAGACTGGATTAGCCCTGCTGCTGGAGTTCCAGCAGTGCAGCATGGGAAAACCATTTAAACCACTAGTATTTGGCCCAGCTATAGGCTGCAAAAAAAAAGGAGTAGAAACATTTCTAGTCGGATGAATTTGGGCGCTTCTGTAGTAGCCTGTACGTTTCCTAAAATCATGGCGCGTTAATGGGCACGACTCTAAGAAGTACTGGTGGTTTAAACCACCAGCACTTGGCCCATACATCGGCCGGGGGCGTTTCCCGTTAACGCGCCGCGACTGATGGGCTTCGGCCTACTGGACCACAATAGCTGGAGGCGTCGGCCAAAAGAAAGTCGAAACGGCGCGGTGGCGGCTCGACAAAACTTGGCGTGCAGGGCATATTCAGGCTCGGGATCAATAGCTGGGACAAGTACTGGTAGTTTAAAACCTGCCTCCTTGTTTTCTTCAAACCGGACAAAGGTATCTCGTGTCGCCAAATGTGTTTTGTCCCCAGTCTCAATTATAGTTGTCCGAGGGTCAGGATAAAAAAATCATGCACATCTTTTTCAAAAGAATGGTCCCCCGCAAATTGGTATTCAAAATAAGTGGTCCAACCCCACAGGGTCACCCCACCATACTGATCCTGCTTTACAGGGGAGAGACCCACTTCCCATTTTCCAACCCTTTTGCACAATGGGACCACTAAATCCCCTTCGATTTTTGGGATCGAGCAGCCTGTCCTTTCTCCAAAGTATGACTAAGGTGCTTTCTTCTACATGGTTCAACTCCTCACGTGACTGTGAGAGAGTGCCCGGACTGTGCTTTTCAGACTCAATCCTGTGTGCCTTAGACCCACCGCTTTCTTTATTTTTTCCTTTATTGTTTTCCACACTTTTTTTTTTTTTTTTTTCCCTTTTTCTTTAAAAGTCCAGGGTGTTGTAGAGTTGTAATGATCAACTTCGTTAACTTAGCATTGTAATGATGACAATAACACAGAAGAAAGCATCATGACACACGACGAGACAGAGGAAATCAGCAGACAGACGGAAGGAGGAGGGTGATAGACAAGACGATAGACATTAAACCGAACGCGACTTCATTCGTCGTCGTT